GAGCAAGGATGGGGCCAGCGGGGGCTCTCCACTCCGGAAAGAGGTCAAGATGGAAGCCCGGAAGCTGGAGGCCGAGAGCCTCAACATTTCCAAACTCATGGCAAAGGCTGAAGACCTGCGCCGAGCCCTGGAGGAGGAGAAGGCCTACCTGAGCAGCAGGGCTCGGCCCCGGCCCGGAGGACCAGTCCCAGGGCCGCAGGTGCAGGGCCAGCTGGCTGGCATGTACCAGGGCGCAGACACCTTCATGCAGCAGCTACTCAACAGGTGAGGGCTTGGAAACCACCTATCAGACAGGTACACAGTGGGCTGTGGGCACTCTGCCTACTGGGCACACTGCATCTCGAGCTGGGGTCCCCTGTCAAGGGAATTCAGGCTTTCTAGAGGTGATAGGGATCTCTGGTGAACTAGTGGGTGGAGAGTTCAAATCTACCAGCTGCTCCATGGGAGAAGATGGGCAGTTTCCACTTGTGTAATTAACAGCCTCTGAAAACCCACTTGGAGAGTCAGCTGTGAGTCATTTCTGACTTGATGGCAATGAATTTGAGGTAGGGGCTTTTTTTTTTTTTTTGATAAGTCAAAGAAGTAGGAGGCAAGTGCAATGCCACTGAAGCATCTGGAAATTAGAGATTAGTTTGGGGGCTCAAATCAGAAACCTGAGGTTTGTAACATGACCCATACCTCACTGGTTTTGTGGTACCAGGCGTGCTGAGAACCTGACTCCAGTATCAGATGCTGTGGCCAGTCTGTTTAAGTACATGGCATATAATAAGTAAGTGGGTGCTGGATCTTGTCTGGGCCCCTCCCTGGAGAATCTCATTTCATCTTGCTCTTTGGCATCTACCACAAACTGAACAGTGAGAGCTGTGGTTCAGAAAAGGGGCCCACCTCATCTTGGGTTGCTTCATGTAGGCCCAGTGAGCTAACATGTCACAGAGACTGGGTAGGGTGTGGTGCAGACAACAGACACGCTCAGAAGTTGAGCTGGAGCTAGCATCATCCGGACGTGACCCAGTCTGCCCATCTGTCTGTAAACTCGCATTGGATCTCCAGACATGCTCCTGGGTAATTCTGAGGGTGTTCTCTTACCCTTTTCTCTGCTGTTACATGGGGATTTTTCCTAGGGTCTCTGCTTTATCCCAGTGACAGGAGCAGTTTGTAGGGGTAACCACCAGGGATATTGCCCCCTTCCCCAGGGTCTTTCTAGGTCCCACACAGGTAGGGCGTTGGAGGCTGTAATGTGGTGGGCCCTGCCCCTCTGGAGGCCTCCCTCACTTCTGCATTGTTGCCCTCAGGGTGGATGGCAAGGAGCTGCCACCCCAAAGTTGGCGGGAGCCTAAACCAGAGTATGAGGATTTCCAGCCAGTGTCCTCTGATCCTAAGAACCCCTGGCCTGCTTGTGGGCCCCGAAATGGCCTGGTGGGTCCTCTTCAGAGCTGTGGAAAACCTTCTGGGAAGGTAAGTTCTTGGGCTAGGGCCTGGGTAGAGGGACTGGCCTTATGGTCCTCTCAAGGGCTCTTACTTCCTGAGGGCTCCCCTTCCCTGGGGCCTGGTCACACTCATGGACTCCGAAGAGTGGGGGTACTGGGGAGGGCACAGGGCTTCTTGGGTCTAAGGGAGACTGCAAGAACTATCAGACTCATCTCTAGGCATCGATGGCACAGGCCTCACGGACTATGGGTAGGGGGCTGGCTGGGGTGGGGTGGACTCAGGTCTCCTGTCCTCCACAGTCAAGCACGGAGCCAGGAAGACGAGAAGACATCCCCTCAGAGGACAGCCTGGCTGAGCCAGTGCCCACCTCCCACTTCACAGGTCAGCAGGGTCAGGAGCCAAGGATGGGACCTGCCCGCCCGCTCTGCTCCTTTCTGATACTGTAGCAGGTGTCAGGCCCTGAGTGCCATCTTGATGCCACACACTAGATTTATTCTGTGCGCTGGGGCTGCACAGAATAAGTCTCATCCCTCCGGGGGTCTCTGGTCTCCTCCCACAGAAGCTAAAGGCAGAACAGCAGGGACAGCTGGGGCAGGTCCTGCGACCTGGTGTCCCTGGGCGGGGTGAGGAAACTGGGAGATGCTAGCCGAGGAAACAGGCTCCAGCCTCACCCCCTGATGTTCTTTCCCCTCCCCAGCCTGTGGCTCCTTGACGCGAACCCTGGACAGTGGCATTGGGACCTTCCCTCCACCAGACCACGGCAGCATTGGGACCCCCAGCAAGAATCTGCCTAAGACCAAGCCACTACGGCTAGAGCCCCCACCTGGAGCACCCCCAGCTCGGCCCCCGCCCCTTACCAAAGTCCCCCGCCGTGCCCACACGCTAGAACGGGAAGTGCCAGGAGTAGAGGAGCTGCTGGTGAGCGGGCGGCACCCCAGCATGCCCACCTTCCCCGCACTGCTCACCTCGACCCCGGGCCACCGGAGTCATAAGACCTGCCCTGATGGTGAGTGTTGGGGGTGGTTGAGGATATTGTGGGCACTCCCGGGGGTGTACCCCTAGGAATAGCTCACCTACCACATCTGCCTTCCCATTGTTCCTGGGCAGACCCCTGTGAGGATGCAGGCCCTCCCCCTCCTGTACAGCTGGCCAAGAACTGGACCTTCCCCAATGCGAGGGCAGCTGGAAACTCCTGTGACCCCTTCCTCTGCCCACC